AATAGAATATTTTTAATTTTTTCAATACACAAATTCATATATAAAAAATATATTAATATAACAAAAACATGCAAAAACTATTAACTGAACTATTAACATAAAAGAAGACACTGAAAATGTAAGTAATTATTATCTGATAGCTTTTATGTATTTTAAAAAAGAAAAAACGAAGTGCGATTAGAGTTTTTAATTTTTACCAATAAAAAAAAATTATTTAAATCTTTTACATCCTTAATGCTCGTCGCATATATTTCTTAAAATAAATGAGATATTTCTTTTATTTCTTAAAATAGTTTTGTAAAAAATGCACAGGCATTAATATTAAAATATTAGGAATATAAAATCAATATCTTAACTTTAAAATATTTTCATCATATCCTACTCAATCTTTACGTTTTTGTAAATGATAGGTGCTGTAGACTTAACCGACTTAACGAAAATTACGAATCAAAAATAACATCATTGATGACTTCAAAAATAAACTTATAACGTATTATGATTGATTTTCTTAAAATTATACTATACTAATTTATGTAAGGACTTCGTAATCCATAGTACGCCATAATTAATCTATAAATACTTTAATAAAATTTATGTTTTGTGAAGCTTTAAAACATAAGAAACAAGAAAAGTTAAGGATAAATAAGAGAGGAAATATAAAAAAAACATTAATTAAAAATAAAAACAAAGTTAAAGTGAAAAGTTTTTATAAATTGTGGAGCACAAATTAATAGAAGAAAGTTTTTCACTTTTAATGGCAAAAAGTGTTTAAATGTGTGCACTTAAGTAATCCCATAAAATCAAGAAAATCGCACATACCTAGAACGTCAATTTTCTATAAAATCCAGAAAATCAAATTTTAATTACATATTAAGCAAATGAAAAAAGGAAGGAAAAAATACATGTCGCAACGTCATCATTAACTACCAAAATTACTGTGAATCCCAGCTGGAGCAACAAGAATAGCATCGATTCAACTAGTAGCAGCGGAATTAGTAGTTCAGCAATTCTGGAAACTGTGAAAACTTTTGTGAGTACTAGTCCGACAACACTTAATGCAGCAACGATCAGTACAGATAACATCACTATACACTCGACCTCAATGGGAACGGAAAGTTCCTCTGCCGTTGCCGCTGCTATGGAACACAACACGCCTGCCAACAAAATGAATGTGGCCGATTTGAGTGCTTCATTGCAGCATTTTGGTTTCGTTGATTATTTTGTATTTGTGTTAATGCTTTTGGTTTGTGCCGTAATTGGGTTTTATTTTGGATTTGTTGAGAAAAAGAAGAAGCGGAACATGGAGGAGCGTGGTGGTACGGAAGCTTTGAACTATCTGGTGGGTGGCCGAAAGATGAAAGTATTTCCGGTGTCAATGTCTTTGGTAGCCAGGTGAGTATATTTGTTTAGTATGAATTCTCTTTAAAATTTGGATTAAATATGTGTGAGTGGGAGAGTGATTAATGGTATTACATACTATTTCAGTAAGTGCCTTTGCTTTAAAAGTTATGTAATAGAGTTCCTCTGTGGGTTCCTTTTTTTTGGTTCAATCACAAATAAATTTTATTGTTTTTTTGGTGTGGTATTGAAGACAAGTTAATAGTTTGGAAAAGAGATTTATATATTTTATTTCCGTACTGTAGTTCTGTTGTGGTAGAGCTTATAGCTTTCCAAAATTGATTGAAACAAAAATTTGCTTTTTATGGAAAAGCAATTGAAAACTACTTTGATATAATTTTTTATAAAAAATTTAATTGAATATGAAAATTGCTATGAATTGCATAGAAAGCGTTATGAAATTTTTATCAAGGCGAACAATCAAAATACAATAACAAAGCACTAAAAAATATAATGAAATATGCAAAACAAAGTGGCCCGAAGTATCGCCAAAAAATCTGAAAACAGAAAATTGAAATTCTTTAAATTCTAGACACGTTGCTCTCTCCGAAAATTATTACTGGGAAAGCAAAAAAAGTGAAAAGCGCGCGAAAAGTTATGATTGGCGACTCAGCTTGAGCTTTTAAAGACACTACATGGAATTCCGTAGTTTTAATGGTGAAATCCTAACGTACTACAGTTAATTTATATTCAAGCAGATTCAGTCTAATGTGAGACTTGGGTAAAAAATGTTTAAGTACTTTAAGATTGTCTAAATTTAGGAACATTCGAAGCTTAAGTTGAGACAAGGTCAAGCAATTGAACAATGGAATTGTTGCTAAAGAAGTCAAATTTTTATAATATAAAAAAAAAATTTCATGTATCTCATTTAACTTTAAGAGTAAATCACAAATATTTTCAGGCAAATATATATAAATATATATATTTGATCTTGACCGTGAAAACTTGAAATGGTTATTCGGTATATATAGCTTAAGATGCTTATACGACATTGACGAATATATCAAGAAGGCATTTATATTATTTATTATCTTTATGGAACAAATCGAACTGTTTATATTTGTATCTATATCTTTGTCTGCGTGTAAGTCTGTATATTTGCCAATTTATCCATCTAGTACACTTCTAGTAAGGTAAGCTAATAAGCTTCTCCACAAATATTTTTTTAGAAAGTGTCATTTTGGACCTCTAAATTTGAAGATGTATTTCTACTACAGTTATTCCTAAGGGTCATCAAGAAAAGACCTCAAGAAAATATTTAAAAAAGGCAGTATCGAAATTTGAAGGGTTATTACAGTCGGTAATATTATAAATGATGCAGATTAGTTTACTGAGTTCTAGATAGCTCTCATCAATTGCCCGAATATGTAACATAACTGCCACGAATAACATGGCAGTGAGTTTTTAAATTAATAATGTGCGAATTTCCGTATATTTTCTTGAAAAATCTGGAGTTACCTTTACTTTCAGTAAAGGTAGTGTATGGATCTGAGAAGATGATGTTGAAAAGTTTTAGAGTATTGCACCGTACGTATTTTGTTAAGCTTTCGATAAGAAGATTATTACGTTAGTCTATTGATCTGATATAGTTAAGTTATTCTTTAATATTGTACTAATAAAGCTTAACTATAGTTCATTACATGAGTTACTTTCAGTAATGTTTTTTAAAGATGAAACAGAATTTTTATTGAAGATATTTCACTTATTTCTTTTGAGAGTAGTTAATTTTTGCATTTTTTTAAAATACAAGTAATTAAAGAAATACGTAAACCTAAACTAAATAATGATCCTATATAAAAATATTTATAGTTTTGTTTCTGGTATTTCATTGCTTGGCATTTCCACGGAAATTTATATTTATGGTACTCAATACGCTTTTGCACTCATGACACTGGTTTTGACTGGAGTTATAATCTGGTACCTGTTCCTGCCGGTATTCTGCAATTTACAATTAACTTCAACTTACGAGGTACGTACAGAATTGATCCATTCAATATTTATTGCACTTATACTTGCTTGTTTTTTGTATTTGTTTTATTGCAAAATTGGATTCTCATTGACTTTGCGTAACCAGGCATAAAGAGTCATACTCAATTATCCTTTTTTTTTTCCATGCAATCATTATATTTAAATACATACTAAATTCAATAACTTAAATCTTCATCACTATATATAAAAACACACAGAGTATGCTAAACAAATAATAATTAATAATATTTAAACATGGAATATTAACACAATTTATTACTATATATTACAGTGTTCTATTATTTTTTAATGTATGAAACAAATGTCGGATGACAACATGGGTTATGTACATATATCCGAGTTATTTTGTTGTTTATTAAGTAAGGTTTTATCTTAAGTTATTGTCACAGCATTTGTCTAAGCCGATCCCATAAGTAAAAATAATAATTTAAGATAGTTCTGATAATGACAATAGATGATAGACAATAGATGATAAGAATAATTCCACATAGACCTTTTAGGAGTCTGTTCTGTTTTTTTAATTAGTTAAGTAATTAACTACGACTGTTTGGTGTGGTTTACACGCTGGCGGCGACATCGGTCCTTATTTCTTTAGAAATGGGAAAGGAGCAATCCCCTTTGTTTCTAAAAATTAATTAGTTAAATATCGTTAAACAAACATTAGTCAAACAAACATTTATTGTAAAATCAATTTGGTAACAACTTTATTTCCAGAAGTGGTCCTGAACGATTACTTTTTATGTGGTTATGTTAAATGGTGTAGTTTATGTCGAGACAAACTAGTCAACTAGCAACTCTTGAAGCATTGGAAGCCAATGTTCATGCTAAATTGAACTGATCGAATGGACCAAGCCACTCGTAGCTGTGGCAGACATATGCCAGAAAATATAGTCAAAAAATAAATGAAATAATCTACCAGATTATAATTAAAAAAATCTCATTCCAACAATATTTCTGTTTTGTATTATCATTTTAAGTTTTTATGCAGCTAAAAAAATCTCGATATATTTGTTGTAGTGGTTACTTTGAAACTTTTTAGAAAAGTATTAATTCTGACTTACTTAATATTGTTCTACTGTAATGAAAAGGTTAGTTTGGTTACTCTTGACTTAAAAGCACAATTGCTGGAAATGAACTTCCGTTGTTGAAAAAATTCGAGCATATCTAGTTGAAGTTGAAATTCTGTTTCCTGTATTTTTACAATGGACAGTGCATTTATATACTTTTATAACGCGTATCCTGTTGAAAACTCGTTACAATTCAATTCAAACAAATACCCCAAATAGAAGTAAATAGACGCCAAGTTGGAGAGGTAAATAGATGAACAAACACTGCAGTTGTATCAAAAAATATTCATTACTACAAACTTCAATTAAAAGTTTTACAAATCAATTTTAAAGATGTATTTTTTATAAATTGTTTATTAGAATTGTCTTCAAAAATTTACACAGAACTTGTTGTATTTATTAAAAAAAAATTTCAGTATTATAAGATATATTATTTAATGAAGTTCGCAGAATGCAACCACAAAACGTAACTGTCTGTGGTCGTTGTTGGAAAAAGCGTATACGGCTGCCACAAAATGTTCATGAAATGAGTTGGTAGAGCATGGGAAGTAAGATATGCATTAGAGCTAGATATGTAGTAAAGCACGGGTGCATACCTAGTTATTTATAATATTATCTATTGGAAATATTTTACTGTGTATAAAATAGAAAATTATCAATTAACTTTAATTGTCAATTTAGGTGGAAGTGGGAAATAATATGAGTTTATAATTTAAACTATTATACATTATTGCTAAAAATAACTTTACAAAATATTCATCGATAATCCGATATATAGGATTGTAAGTTAACACTTATTTGAAGTGAAACATTATAATTTCATAATATTGCAGTATTTAGAAATGCGGTTCGACAAAAGGGTTCGCCTGCTTGGATCCGTGTTCTTTTTCATTGAAATAGTAAGTAAAGCTAAAATTAAAATAATAGTTAATATTATCTCAAGGCTAAACCAATTTTTTTGAAACAATTTGTAACAATATATGAGATTTTTTTAACAATTTTGAATACTGAATTTTATATATACAAACATTACATTTTATATTTTTAAATTAAATAATTAACAATAATTAAAATCATTGTTGTCCGCTGTTTTTCTGTTTTGCGGTTTATTTTCAAATTTTTAATGGTCATCTTCGGTGGCATTTTTCCAAACTTTCTCGAATGACATTCTAGACGTTGTGGTTACCTATTGTTATATTAGTTCCAGCGTTGGCATTTAATCAAGGTGAGTTGTAGCTATTGAATTTATACTGCCAAGTACTTACAAATAAAATCTCAAATTTTTAATAAATAATTAAAAAAAATAATTTTAGTAACTGGTGTGAATATTCATATTGTGACAACTGTAGTGTGCATCGTCTGTATATTTTATACTTGTGTGGTACGTAAATGAGTGAATGAATTATAATTACAATATATTATTCTCGTTATATGTAAACATAAATTATATATAAATAATTAGGGTGGAGTAAAAGCTGTCATATGGACTGATGTCATACAAACTGTAATTATGGTTGGTGCTATCATTTTGGTCATCATTAAGGGTACAAGTGATGTAGGTGGTCTGGGAGTTGTGTTGAAGCGTAATTATGATAGTGGACGAATAGAAATACCTACGTAAGTATTATTAGCCAGGTACTCGTAGAATATAGTTACAGAAAATGGTTAAAACATGTCTCCTAATGTTAAATTTAAAACAATAAAATTCTATAGCAGTGGGGGATGTTGTTTGAAGAGTAGTATTATCATAGATGACGACATAAATATAATAAAATTGCATAATACAAAACGAGTACATTGTGTTTATAGTATTAACTTAACACCACCGTTTTCTTTCCAAAATATTTGAAATAAAAAGAAAGTTCTTACTAGTGTTATAATTGAGTATAATGTTTATTGAACGCAGGGTATATACTTATACTGTATCTTGTTCTTTAAATCAAGATTTTATTTTGCGTTTTGATTATATTGACAGTTACGTACAATATTTCATCACATTATTCCATATAACACATAAATGGTAACAACATATATACACTAATACTATTATACTTCAAAATATATATGTATGTCATATTAGGGTGTCATTAATTTGCGAAAGTCGGAGAAGTTTCCGCGAAAAAAGTAAGGTTTTCATGTCATTTTGTGGGGTATATTTTCAAGAATTTATCGCACAACTTGAAACGATTAAAAATGTTTTTAGTATATTTGTATATAAACTGTCATCATATTCTGTATTCAAATTAGAAACCACATTTGTCTCAGATGACATATTTGAATCGAAAAATATCAAACCAACTAACTTTGAGCTTAAACACCAAAGATGATTACATAATTTCTCCAAAGTAACTCTAGATATGTCTCCAACAATTTTTTCATATCGATAGAGATTAAAAAGAAGATTAAACTCTTGAAAAGGATCTGTGACTGATGACGAAGCATTAAACCATACTTCAACACACACTTTCGTAATAAACTTACATATATCGCAAAGAGCATTTTCTTCTTCTGTAGATAATTTGAACTCTTTCCTAAATAAAAATATTTGTAATGCATGCATGGCTTTCGCCATCCAACTTGCGTGATGTATAGTCCCAGGATCTTGAAACTTTGTGCTGCAGTTTGGTATTTCTCCTAAATATATTAATGCAAGTTCCAGAAGTTCCCCATAATCATCTCATGTTTGGTTATCCTTACGAATCTTATTAAGGAAACTTGTAATTCGTTACACATCATTTTTAACGATTTTCTTTTCGGGTGTTTTCAGCTTATATTTTCCTTTATTCAATAATTATTAGAAATACAGAAATACAAAAAAAATATGAGTGAATTGTTTACTTTGAATAGATCTATAACTTTTGGGAAGACAGTTCTTATGTAAAATTAAATATGTTGGAGATATAAGCAATGGCTCTTGGGGCGCCATTTTCATTAATCCAATTGAACTAAAATTTTACACAGATTTTTTTTTTTAGTAAAATTAACCGATCTGGAATTAACCGACCCATATACCCTAATGGCACCCCAATGTCATATATTTCATTGGTTACTGCAATTTTAATTAAATGGGTGTTTTGTTTTGAATGGAAAAAATAATATTGGACCCAAAAAGTTAAGATATAAAAATATAAAATCAGGGAAATTAATTATATTGACTGGTTTGGTCAATTAAAAAATGATTGTATAAACATTGATAAGACTAAATGCTCTGGTCGCTCAAATTTAGTAGATTTTTCGAGAAACATAAAAGAATCCACAACATAGTTTCAAATAGTAGTAAAGTGTTAATTTTTAAAAGGTATTTAAAAGTACTATTGAGTAATTTGAATATGAGTGAGTTTTTTTTCGAAATTTTTACCTAATTTTTGTTTCATTAAGGCAATAGCACGTATTAAAATCGGGGAAAACGATGATTGTATTCAATAAAAATGGTCGAATCGTGCTGCAAACATATAAATATGGCGCAAATGACCGAATGTTTGCTGAAACTGATAATTGCTGTCATAGTGATGAGTTTATGGATAATATAAACCCTTTCAAAGTGGTTGAGAGGATGTACCGTTTGTGCGGAAAAATTTATAAAAATGTTGCGGACGTAAAATAATTGGTAACAACGAACAAAATATTATTGAATAAAACTCAAATTCCGTAATCACCTTACTCTCAACACAGGGCACAGCAGTCGCAGTTGTTTATATTTTCTAAAAGAACACTTAAATACTTTTTGAAAAAATTTTTTTAATCACTTTTCTTAATTATTTCTTTTAGGTTTTTAATTTTTTTACATTGATAAAATCTAATAAAGATTTTTCGTTTTTTCGCTTAGCATTACTTTGGATCCTACGGAACGCCTTTCGATGCTTTCGATAATTTTGGGAGCAACTTTCTTGTATGTGGAAATCACAGTAAATCAGGTTTTCATACAACGGTTTCTATCACTTCCAGGCGCCAAAGAAGCAAAACATGCGTTGATTCTATACATAATAGGAGTTATTATATTGTTATTAGGTTGCGCATATAATGGTCTCCTGATTTATGCAACATACCATGACTGCGATCCATTAACTACAAATGTAAATATTTTTTAAATTTTCTTGTTTATCTAATAAGTCCAATAATCTATATAAATCACACTTTATTGTACATATTTATATAATCAAAGATGATTGTCAGAACCTTCATACAGATAGTTTTGCTTTACTTCAATTAATAATGCCTGACACATGTTAGGTTGATAACATTATAGATACATTTCAAAACATATTTTAATTATTATTTAATATTTAAGTATGTATTTTATAAATATTACTTCTAGGAGAAATGAATTAAATTATCTTCACAGGAAATTTAATAGCTACTGGATTATTTGTATGAAGTTGAAGTTTTTATGAAATCAACCTAATTCATAATTAAGAGTATTAACTTGTAATTATAAAATCTAAGCAATTGCCTTAAAAAAAACTCAAATTAAAATTTGTTTGATATTTGCAGTTAGCAAAAGCAAAGGATCAAATTGTACCTCTACTAGTAATGGATATTTTGAGCGATTACCCTGGAACAGCTGGACTATTTGTGGCGGGTGTCTTTAGTGCAGCGCTCAGTTCCTTATCCACTGGTTTAAATTCCCTTTCAGCAGTGTTTCTTGAAGACTTCATAAAAACATTTCGTAAAAGTCCTCTAACAGAGCATCAGACTGCAATTATAATGCGAGTATCTGTAGTAGTAATGGGCGTTATTTGTGTTGGGTTAGTGTTTGTCATCGAAAACTTGGGTACGGTTTTAGAGCTTTCGATATCAATAGGTACTATGACAAGCGGTCCGTTATTAGGACTATTTCTAATGGGTGTCCTGATGCCTTGGATAAATGGCAAGGTAAAACAGTTTAAAATATGGTATAAAAACTATATTTTATATATATTTTATTCGAATAGAGTGTTTTACTTGGCAGCGTTGCAGCGTACGTTGCTATGAGTTGGATTTGTATAAAAGGTAAAATTGCACTTACAAGTGGTGAATTGATATATCCCATGAAGCCTTTCTCTACTGAGGGTTGTACTTATAAGTTTGAAGAGCTTATAACACCGGCGAATCAAACTGTAGTTTTACAAAGGTAAATACAGGAATTAAAAAAATGTGTTCAATAAATGCTTTCTCTTAAAATGATCAATTAACTTTATATTCTTTTAGCGACAAAACATTGGCACAATATATTTATCAGATGTCTTTTATGTTATATGTAACTGTAGGTGCAATATTATCAATTATATTCTCGCATATAGCATCGCTGGTATTTGGATGCAATGATCCTAAAAAAATGAACATAGAGCTTTTTTCACCTTTAATAAGAAAATATATCAAACCGATGGAATATGAAAGTGTACAAATTGAAGAACAGAATGTGCTATTAAACACTGAAAAAAAAATTTATTAAAATCATAGAATCTCTTTTAAATAAAATTTTTTTTTATTATTTTTAAGTATATATTTTAGATTTAAGTTTTGCTGTCAAACTTATTAAAAATCGCCACTTAGAAGAAAATAGTTTATGTAAAATAGTTCACAGTTGGCATTATAAATTTCGAAGTAAAAAAAAACAATCTATACATAATAAAGTATATTATTTAAAGTACTTAATATGTCTAATATACTAACTTTTAACAAACGTATGCAGCCTTATTTACATGCTTTACATAAGAAACTGTAAAATGGGTTAATATACCCATTTTCAACTGTGTCAAGTAACGCATCGAAGGAAACTTCAAAAACCCCATAAAGTAGAAATGTGTATTAAAAAGGTATGTAAAAGATATATATTCATGGTTAATATGTCAATTTTTTTGACAATAAAATATAGAACTACTTACACTACCCAAATCTACACCCTACCCTTACACTACACCCAAATCTAAGTTGCATTTAAGTCTTTCTAATGATTTATTTCAATTTAATAACATTGATAGTAATTTCGATGTTTTTTTTTTATTTTATATACAAATATATGTAGACAAAATTTAATCAATCTTTGTGTTACTTCATATCAAATATTTCAATATATAAATTTTCATCAATTTCATACAGAACTGTCATTTAAGGCGTTCTATATTTATTAAATTTAGCTATTATACAATATGGTTATAACAAGCAATGGACGTGTTCAAGTGCGAAAACTTATATTCTTCAGTAAAGGGGTTAATTTGTTGTCCTCGGTAGATATGTCAACAAAACTGTCACATCTGGTATGATATGTCTGTATTTTTTGGAAAATGGCAAAAGTATGAGATAAACATTCAACATATTACTTCGCTAATCGAAGTAATATACGTAGACGATATGCGACTTCAATAGGATGGCGCGACAAGCTGCATACTCGTAACATGTGCTGTTTTGGCTTTATTGAGCTAGGCTTTTTTGGGCGTTTTGGTGAAGTGCATGAAGTCCACCTTAGTGATTTCTAAAAGCTATTTTGATAGCTTTATAAATCAACTATAAGTTGTGATATTCCAATAATAATAAGTTATATAGAAGTTTTAAATTAGAGTTTTTTTTTTTGATACCATAATATATTCTATTTCTATTTTGATAGATCTTTCTAAGTGAGCTATCATGAGTAAAATCATTGCCATATTATGTTGTACTTTCACAAAGCCAGATTTAATGAAATGATTAATGAAAATATAAACAAGTAAGTTAATGTTTAATATTCTTAAGTCAAGTTTCCGGGCCTACTCCATACATGTAAAGTAAATGACGACTATAAAAATGTTTTTCATTTACCATATTTGTCATATCAGAAACATTTTATAGCTCTAGTCAATGAACTCAACTTTTGAATTTTATTTTACATTGTCGTAATTTTATTAAAACAAGTATTTTTCGTGTTAATTTAATTGAAATTATAATTAATTAGAAAGTTATTTTAAATGAATTGCCAAATTTTTAGTTTAATCTAAGAAAATGAAATCAAAAATTTTTTTTAATTGCTACTTGAAGACGCGTCTGTGCCAGAAGTGATAAGCCAGTAAGTACATATGCTTTTATTACATATAATAAAGACAGCTAATTAAAGTGACAAGCTCTTAAATGCAAACACTCGTATATAAAAAAATGCATATACGCATATATATATTACACGCGTATGTACTAGTACAATTCCTGATTATATATGCAAATTAATGATAAAAATTATCACTAGATTTGAAACAATCAAATTGCACGAATACATGTTCAGATGAGAAGAAGATGATATCAAAGAAAGCATCTCTGCAGAATGAGATTTGTAGCTGAAAAAAAGTTGGTGCTCATTCGTGTTTGAAATGCAAATACAAATACTACAATATAAGCTTATACACAAATACTTAAAATAAATAAAATAAATAAAATTGTAGATAATTTCAAAGCAGTAGATTGTTTTTTTTTGTTTCGAATGTACTGTCATTGTCGATTGTGTGCAAAGTTAAGATGCTGTAAAATTTCGTCAGAGCAGCTTAAGCTTTATATTCCTTACTTGTAGGTAGCATTCGGCGGCGTTGATAGCAGACCTTGTAGTAGTAGGTATTTACTTATTACTTTAATAGTAATTTCTCTTGATTTAGTGTTTGTATGTTACTACACAACATATATGTCGATCTTAAGTGCCTATCTTTAGTACGAGTATGTAGCTTCAACGTTTTGCATGTGTTTACGGATCGTGGAAAAAAGAAATTTTAAGGATTACTGTTTTAATTATATTAATTGAAAAGGACATATGGTGATCCTTGAAAAATTTCTTTTATTGAACTAAAAGTAAAAATATTAGAAACAATTTAAGAAAATTAATATAAATTTTAAATTTAAGTATATATTTTTGAAGTTTGAAAATTTTTTATAAATGTGTATTTAATATTAAATAATGCAAAATTACCGAAAAAAATATTATAATTCAAACAGTTATGTTAAATGCATAAATATAGTAAAATAATATGAATTTTAATGATTATATAATGCGTTCAATTTTAAAAAGCCAACGGAATATTAATCAGAAAATATTACGAAATTAAAAAAAAACCCTTAAAAAATATGTATAAAAAATAATATATATATCTATATTCATAAGATTAATAAAAGACCATAACATTGAGATATAAACATATATTCGTTATATATTATTAAATTATTTACATAATCATTTGTTAGTATAATTAAAATATCCAAAAAAAGTGATCGTGATTTTTAAAAAAATTCGGAGTGACAATTATTTAATAAAAGTTAATAAATGCTTTATATATACATTAAATAAATGAAATGTGCCAAAATTAAATTGTATATTTGAAACTTCATTAACTGTTATTGATATATGAATATATGGTATAAACAACATGTAAACGAATGTGTTGTTTGGTCTTATCAATAATATATATAAATAATGCCTAAATATATATAATAACGACGTTTTAAATATTATTAAATATATGCAAAAATATTTTATATTAAATTTTAAAAATTAATTTATTTTGGGAATAATTTATATTTTAATATATTTTATTAAAACAATCAATTTAACAAGATATTAGTTGCAACGTTACAATCTGCTGTTTGGAAAATTATTTACGAATAATTGATACCAAGAAATATTTCTAGGTATTTCTTAAAATCTAGTACTGTTCAAAATTCTTTCTATTTAAAATATGGTTTTTTTCGTCATATATAACTTTTAATTAAATTAGAGTAAAAGTGTCATTTTTAAATAAATGTCTCTCAAAATATTTAAAAAAATATTTAAATAAAAAAGAAAAGTGTGATCCTGCCGATGTTATTTTTGTCCTGTGAAACAAAGAAGAATATTTTTAATATGACCAGAATTACAATAATAATAAATGAATAATAATAAATGAATAAATCAACAAAATATAAAATACAAAAATTTGTTACAAAAACTGAATATGCATTTCATTTATAAATAATTTTAACAATATTTTTAAAAAAATTTGAAATTAGTGTGCTGATTATATCTGACATAAAAAAGTTGTATTAAAAAAAAAACAAAATGATTTATGAATTATTTTTTTAATTAGCTTATAAACTATTTAAAAAAAAATGAATTAAATGACGTGCCAATTATCTTTATATATATACGAATAAGTTACTTGTGTAGGAAAGATTTATATAATAAATCAGTATATTAAAAATTACAAATTTTATGTTAAATACTTAAAGATATTGATCTGCAGATGTACTAAAATGTGTGCTTAAAATTGGAAAATATAAATAATATTAAAAATAAAATACAGAAATAATAATAAAAGCAAAAAATCTAAAAAAAATTTAATTTAATACTTTAATATATTGAATCACGAAAGTTTTTAAATCATTTTGAATCATATAATTAACAATGTATTTATTTTGTTTATTGATCATAAAAAAAAAAATTAAAAATAACTTCGGTAAAAATTAGTTGGGATTTTTTAAAATTCAATTTATTTAATTTATATGTGTTGTAAAAACGAACATTTACACATAATTACAGTGGTCGTCCAGTATAACGAACGCTCGATATTACGAATTTTCGATATAACGAACACCCAAAATATTTACATTGATTGTTCTATATAACGAACGAAAAAAAAAATTCTGCTCCATATTACGAACAAAAAATTTTTTGTTTCTTATTCGTTTTTGTTTTATACAAATTATGCTTTTGAATATAATTTTACTATAAAACTAGCATTATTCAGCTTAGAATATGCATGTAATTGTCCGCTTTTTTTTTTCTGAGAAAAATGTCTATATATGGCAAAATGCATATATGCAGGCGCCGCTGATCTGTTGTTCACAAATTCAGTTTATCATATACGAAATACTATCCAGACATACAAATGTACATATTAAGGTGTTTATATTTAATATGTATTTGTTTGAAAATATCATTTAAAAATTAATTTTGACAAAGCGGACGTTTAAATCGTTGTGAATTAAATTTTAGTTTTTAAAAAGCTGTTCAGAAAAGTCTTGAGTGTAGTAAAAAACAAACAAAAATTAATGATTTTTTTTACTCTACACTATGATTGAATGCGTCTTTTCTTATAAATAATTTTTGTAACAACCGAATAAAAAATACTTTTAAATAAATATATACTCGTACGTGTTTATAAGTTAATTTATGAACTCAAATACACTCCGTTTCACTTGAATAGCACACTTCACATATTTAATTTCTTTTCTTTATATCTTTTAAACTAATGAAATAAAACAATTTTTTTTTAGATTTTATAGGTAGTGTGATTAATAATCTTTATTATAAAAATAAAAAAACTTGCATTTTTTCAATAATTTTTATATTAAAAGATGACAAACTAAATAAGTATATAAATAGCATAAAAATTTCGTTTCACTTGAATAGCACATTTTTGTTTTTTAAATAAATCTAATTATTTTATGCACTAGGGACTGTTTATTTATTTATTATTAAGGATTAATTTGTTAAAATTAACATTTTAGTAATGAGTTGAACCTCCCTTGTTTAATATAACCTCATAGATCCTATGGGGAAGTGAATCATACAAAATTGTAATATAATCAAGGGAAATTGTAGCCCATGCTCGTTGAATTGCTTCAATTAGTTCAGTTTTTGTTGAATATTGTTTTCCAGATTCATACACTTTTCTAGCCAGCTATCCCCAAACATTTTCTATTATGTTAAGGTCCGGCGAGTATGGTGGCCAGTTCAGAACAGCAACATTTCTGGATTCAATGAACGATTTTACAACACGAGCAGTATGTATTGGGGCGTTGTCTTGTTGGAAAGTCCACGGCAATTCTCCAAAAAGATTCTCTAATGAAGGAAAAGCTTTTTCTAAAACTCCTTGGTACGATTTTGCGTTCATAGTTGTGTTTAAGAATTGGAGTTCACAAGTGCCATAGTAAGATATGGCTCCCCAAACCATAACTCCGCCCATTCTACTGTGTAAACGCTCCAACTGATGAGTTTCTTTCCTCAAATCATGAAAATAATAATTGTAACCGTCGGGCCCTTCCAAATTAAACTTTTTCTCATCAGAGAAAACAACATGATTCCACTCCTTACTCCATGACATGTTGGCACGGCAAAAAGTCAACCGAGCTTCTTTACGTATAGGGTTAAGTGGTGGTTTTTTTTTTAATTTAAGCCGTTTTAGATGTTGGGCATTCGAAATAACCCGCCATACGGTAGTTTTGCTTGCATTGACACCAGCTTTAAACCTTATTTTGTTGACCGAATCATGCGAATTTGAAGCTTGCCTCAAAATAGCCCGCTTATCTGCATAGCTGAGGACGCTTTTTACACGGCCTTTCATATTTTTTCCATAGTTAAGATCATTTTGAATGAAATTGTATATCACTTTTCTGCTTCTTCCGATTTTTTTTGATATTTGAGTTACAGACAGGTCAGAATCAATGAAGCTTTTTATTTTGACCTGTTCTTCGTTGGTTAAAGCATTACCACGACCCATTATTAATTTAAATCGTCACACTGTATTTAAAACTCACAAATAAATAAAAAAAACTTAATATTGTGGTGAGCTGCTACTCATAAATTAAATTGAAAACCAAATGTGCTATTCAAGTGAAACGAAATACATACTAGTTATTGATGCAAATTCAAAAGAAATTAACGGGAAAATTTAACGGTACATTTCTGCAGTACTAATTTTTTTTGGAGGAGACTACATAAAGAAACAAACAAAAAAACCCAACAATTATTACAACAAAGTCATGAGATCATTGATAGATAAGCAAATAATAATGCAAAAACGAAGTGTGCTATTCAAGTGAAACGGAGTGTATATGAAATCTCCTAAAAATAACCATATTGGTAGGTAAATGTATAACATTCGATATTACGAATTTTTCGATATAACGAACAAGGGGTGCAACATAAAATTCGTTATATTGGACGTCCACTGTACTTATTATTAAAATTATTTGTAAATAAAATTTTTATATATTATGACAATAAATCTATTTCAAAATAAATTCTTTGGTGAGCTGTCTGAAGCAATTCTGCAGAAATATTTTTATAAACAATAGTGTTTAAATTGGAAAAAAAAATTTTTTAATAATAAAGTTAATTTATATAGCCGTGCTTCATGCCATAGTTCTAAACATAGCACAAAAAGTATTGTTGTTGTTACTTCCTTTATCTCCTATAAGAGCATAGGGCCTCAAAGTATAACTGTTCTTTAAAAATAAGTGACAAACTTTAATAAAGGTTTAAATTCGAATAGCACAAATTTAGTGTATGTTGATTTTAAGTGTTAACACATAAGTCTACAGCTCAAATTTGACAGGATTCAATTCATCACATATGCTGCTTAAACATTATATACATTATATACAGTCAGTCCATAAAACCAATAGATCTTTCTAAAGTTTATTACATGATTTAAAATAAAAATTAGTAAATTGGAAATTAAATACAAAAATCTATAAGTATAAAATAATAATTATTAATAATAAAATAAAATAGTTGTGGTTACCTTATTTGATTACAAAAACAAAAAAAAAAATAAATAAATAAAAGGAAGGCCATTTTAAAAAACAAGTTATATATCTAAATTATTTAAAAAATTCCAAATTACACTAAAATTAAAACATAAGGAAGTCCGCATAATTTATTCATTTAAAACATTTTTAATGGACAGCTGTTATGAAGAACTCAATCTTAATTAATAAAATAAGAAAAATGTAATTATAAAAAATAATATAAATGTTAAAAATTAAATAAAATTTTCTTTAGTTATATCTATAATTATAATTATTAAATTAATTATTTTCTTTTGAGGGTTTTCGAATAGCAAAGAAAGAAAGAAAGGACAAGCACAAAAATTTATATAATTTTATTGAAATTTGGCTGACCATACAACGCTGTTTCGAGTATTGCCAAGTACTCATCATCAGTGGTCTAAGGAATTCGAATTTTTAATTAGTTTATAGTCCACATATAATTTTTTTGGACTGCAGTGCAAGGCTTAGAACTCGTGCCTGTCAAATTAGAAGCGATGGCTAATCGTGTTTATCCACCAGTAGTCAAGGGTGCAGAAACTTTCAGTGCCAGGTTTTTTTTGTCACTTTTTTATTTAATTAGTGACATTAACCAAAGCACTTGCCGTTCTTTAAATTAGAACGAGCTTATAAACTACAGCTTTATTTGGAAACACAAGTTCAACGAATTGAAAGTTAACTTTTGGGTTTTGCCTATTTTCTATTTTCAAAGCTATTCTTTTTGTAGAAACATTTGTTATGCATATTGTTTACTTACTATATGTAAAACGCCCATTCTGGTGCTTTTTATAAAAAAACCCTTCAAATTTTAAATATAGCTTCTTTGTCACTATAAAGAAAGCGTGGCTTTATCAGCAATACTAATACATACTTTATTTATTTTTTGTTTCGTAAATCTGTAAGGAAATTATAATATTCTCTTTAAGGTCTTTAAAGTCAATTAAATAATTAATCATAATCCAAAATACTTATGAAGTAAAAGTGATTAATTTTAAAACTGAATAATTGAATAATAATAAAAAGTTTTTTAAATGTCGGTATATTTAAAAAAAATAATGTTAATTTATGTTTTCCTAATTTCATGTATTTATTTTCATAAATTTAAATTAGTTTGTAATTTTTTTTTTTGTAAGTAAACTTATTATTATTCAACATATCTTAGTAATTATTATCAAGACGTGAGTTTTATTCACTTTAATTTTGAAAAAGTGGTACTTTTCCTACTTGTTTTGTTCCCATTTCTTTTCCTTTCTTTTCCTTTAATATTAAATATATTAAAATCGTCTTCTTCCAGATACAAAAGAAATATTTAATGCGTACTTATATGGAGCTGAAAAGCTTTATGAGTATCTGTAAATTATTTATTGTAATAATTATTGTGTAATTATATTAAAATTAAATTTTATATTTGAATTAATTTTCCACTTCAATGTAAAATAAATAAGTTAATAAACTCAATAATATTTTTTTTATTAAAATGTTATTTTTCAAAGTTTCATGAAGATTTTCAAAATTAAATATTAAATATATTAAATTAAAAGTATTTATAACTATATATATTATTATAAATAAATCACTTCTCGCTCTTCATTTCGTTTTTTCAACGAACTCTATAATACATTATAATATATTACTTCACATTCTTATCTCATTAGTATTAGTATTAAAGTGTAAATTATTGTTTTCTTTTACTTTAACCTTTTGATATCACTGTCGTCACTGATAGCATTTCACAATTTGTTAATAACATATTTCACGATTTTAATGAGGTTTCAACACATTATTATATTGTAGATAAATAAATTGGACTACTTAGTAAGCAGTAAGAATAGTAAGAACAACAATAACGCCATATCTACCCAGATGTAATAGAAATAATAGTTATTGCAAAGTATCTTAGGATAACTAAATTATTAATTTTTAAAAGTGAAGAGGCATTAATTCCAAAAGTGCTCAAAAAATATATTGTGGTTGAGTACAATGGCAATAAGATGCAGTGCATCGATAAGATAAGTTCAGTGTATCGGTAGATGCATTGCAGTCGTACACAAGTAAAGTATTAATTTAAATAGATTTGCATTTATTTATGCGTTCAGATTTATTGATATGCCACCCCCAATACAAACACAACAAGCAGATAAAATATACAGTAGGCTTCGAACCCATTATTATAAATAAAAATTAAAATTAATAATAAAAAGTTTTATATAAAGTTATTATAAAAATATTTAATATATAAAATCAATTTTATTGAAACATATTCAATATTTTTTAATCAATACTTAATTTTTTTTTAATGACAATTAATGAATATGAAAATAATGCAAGCTCAAAATAACATTATGAATCACTCAAGTGCATCGTTTCTTTCAAAAATAAACTTATAACGCATAATCATTAATTTTCTTGAAATTATACTATACTAATTTATGTAAGGACTTCGTAATCCATAGTCTGCCATAATTAATCTATAAATACTTTAATAAAATTTATATTTTGTGCAGCTTTAAAACTTAAGAAACAAGAAAAGTTAAGGAAAAATAAGAGAGGAAAATATAAAAAAAACATTAATTAAAAACAAAAACAAAGTTAAAGTGAAAAGTTTTTATAAATTGTGGCGCACAAATTAATAGAAGAAAGTTTTTCACTTTTAATGGCAAAAAGTGTTTAAATGTGTGCACTTAAGTAATCCCATAAAATCAAGAAAATCGCACATAGAACGTCAAATTTCTATAAAATCAACGAAATCAAATTTTGGTAACATCTCAAGCAAACAAACAAAAAAGAAGCAAAAAGTCGTAATGTCATCGTCAAGTTCTGAAATTCCTGTGAATCCCAGCTGGACAGTAGCGAGCAGCGAGAGTAGCACTGAATCAACTAGTAGCAGCGGACTTAGTAGTTCAACAGTTGCTACAATTGTGGAAACTGTAAAAACTTTTGTAACTACCAGCTCGACAACACTTAATGCAGCAACGATCAGTACAGATAATATCGCTCCACACTCGACCTCAATGGGAATGGAAAGTTCCTCTGCCGTTACCGCTGCTATGGAACACAACACGCCTGCCAACAAAATGAATGTGGCCGATTTGAGTGCTTCATTGCAGCATTTTGGTTTCGTTGATTATTTTGTATTTGTGTTAATGCTTTTGGTTTGTGCCGTAATTGGGTTTTACTTTGGTTTTGTTGAGAAGAAAAAGAAGAAGCGAAATATGGAGGAGCGTCGTGGTTCGGAGGCTTTGGACTATCTGGTGGGTGGCCGAAAGATGAAAGTATTTCCGGTGTCATTATCATTGGTGGCCAGGTGAGTGTCTTTGTTTAGTATGAATTCTCTTTAAAATTTGGATTAAACATGTGTGAGTGGAAGAGTGATTAATGATATTACATACTATTTCAGTAAGTGCCTTTGCTTTAAAAGTTAGGTAATAGTGTTCACAGAGTTTTTTTTTGGTTCAGTCACAGACAAATTGTTTTTTGGTTAATAGTTGGAAAAGACATTTATATATTTCCGCACTTTAGTTCTGTTGTGGTAGAGCTTATAGCTTTCTAAAATTGATTGAAACATAATTTTTTTTAAAAAAATTTAATTGAATTTAAGTCCGATATAAATTTTATAAAAATTCTTTTCACAAAGCACTAAAAAATATAATGAAATATGCAAGACAAAGTGGCCCGAAGTATCGCCAAAAAATCTGAAAACAGATAAATGAAATTCTTTAAATTCTAGACACGTTGCTCGCTCTGAAAATTATTACTGGGAAAGCAAAAAATGTGAAAAGCGCGCGAAAAGTTATGATTGGCGACTCAGCTTGAGCTTTTAAAGACACTACAACACTTTCAATACTACACGGAATCTAGTAGTCTTAATGGTGAAATCCTAACGTACTACAGTTAATTTACATTCAAGCAGATTCATTCAAATGTGAGACTTGGGTAAAAAATGTTTAAGTACTTTAAGATTGTCTAAATTTAGGAACATTCGAAGCTTTAGTTGAGACAAGGTCAAGCAATTGAACAATTGAAATGTTGCTGAAAAGTCACTGTACTGTTCAAAAAAAAATTTGGTGTTATTTATTTAAGTTCAAGATTAGTTAGTTCGTAAATAGATATTTTTATACAATTTTATATATTATTTAACTTTACCAGGAAAGATTAAAGTGGTTTTTAGAAAATGATTTTTTGATAGGAATGAAACAAAATATCAACGATATCTTCATTAATATTTCTAAAATGAAAAAAACGAAAAAATGATTAAAATGGAAAACAAAGTTATCATTTCAAGTAAAAATATAACTTGAACCTGTTTAAATTCAGTAATGGAATAACTGTAATTATAAAAACTATAGAATCAAAAGTTGATTTGATTCAAGAGCTTTTTAGTGTTTTTAACATAATAATAAAGAACACATAAGTCCTTCTTCGTGAACGCACATAGTCCATTTAATTTCTAAATATGTAAATAACTAACTATACATATATTAATTGTCAGGAATATGGACACACAAGAATATTGTGCTAATTTGACAGAATATGCATAATCTGCTCAGAATTTCATCTAATCGAGATATGTCCAAAAAAGCAAAATAGACGACAAAGTTAACAGTTAAAAAAGTTAAACGAATTTAAAATGATGTCAGTAAAGCTCAAGTGAATGCAATAAACTTTGTTAATATCATAAAATATCCATTATTCCCAGAAATTCATTTATATATTGTATTCAACAAATCGCTAAAATCGCTATATATGATATTCCCAGTAATTCATTTATATATTGTATTCAACGTTAAAATCGCTATATTACACAAGTGTTGTTAAGAATACTTCAACAAACAACAAATATTGAAAAAGCAGTGGACACACGATAGTAACCCAATATGGTCCTAAGCACCTATGTTTTTCACTTATAAAAAATTTAGAGTGCATGCAGAAAACCATACCACTCAAAAAATAATCAGAAACCATGGTGATTAAAATGCTTATAAAGATCTGACCATCCTTCTAGTCATCGATATGGCTTGAACACATTTGGCAAAATATGGATTAATATCCTTACGCCAGGCAGTTGCTCCAAATTTAAGAACTTCGCGTCTATACAAGAAGTGTATACTGAGCTGTTGATGTCAAATTCGAATTTAAATAAATTCCTTATTAATTAACAAGTTAAGTCTTCACATTTTATATTTATTTCTTGAGAAAGACTTTAAAATTAGTGTTAATTTCTTGAATAAAGAAGTATTCAATAAAACTGCAAAATAAATCTCTCTATAATCAAAAAATAATAATTAATAGAAGATATATAAGGTTTTAATTTTATTTATTTATAAATTATAATTCGTAGATAATTGTTAATACATTTATAAAATTTGTATTTAAATCAATCATCTTATTTAAAAATGTTTGCAGTTTTGTTTCTGGTATTTCGTTACTTGGCACTTCCACGGAAATTTATGTTTACGGCACTCAGTACGCTTTTATATTGATTACACTGGCCTTGTCTGGAGTTATATCCTGGTACGTGTTCCTGCCGGTATTCTGCAACCTACAATTAACTTCCACTTACGAGGTACGTACAGCATTGGTCAATTCAATATTTATTGCACTTATTCTACACAAATGCACGTTGTTGTTGGCGCTTTTTGTATGATTTGCTTGTTTTTGTGTTTGTCTTACTGCAAAATTGGAAACGAAATTGGATTCTCATAGACTTTGTGTAACCAGGCATAGATAGTCATACTCAAATATCCTTTTTTTCCTTCATGCAATCATTAAATTTAAATACATACTAAAATCAATAACATAAGAATATTTACTTTAAGTTCTAAAAATTTCTCATACCAATTTATCAAAATAAAATCAAATCTCCATCACTATATAAATAACAAATAATAATTAATAATATTTAAACATGTAATTTTAACACAATTTATTACTATATATTACATACTTTTAAACATAATCGATTCACTAATTTTTTTAGTGAATAATTCAATTGGGATCAGAAGCAATGTTCTATTATTTTTTAATGAAACCTATGACGGATAACAACATTTGGGTTATATATATATATATGGTTCATTATCAGTAATTTCAAAAATATATTATAGACTGATGATATTCTTCTTTAAAAATCAATAATATAAAGGTAACTTGCCTACAGTGATTACTCGTGAAGTTGCATATTCAGTCTGCCTTATTTTTAATTTTTTCTAAAACCATAATTAAATTTATTAAATTTTATATTATTATTGAGAAGTCAAGGTATTTTAACCACAATCTTATCTCAAAAAATCTTCTCAAAGAAAATAAGTATAAGTACGTATATATTTACAAATTTTTATAAAAACACATTCCAACGGCACCGAATTCTAATACTTCTTTAAGCTGATCTTAGTTCTGATTCATTATGACATTTTACATGTCATTAATTTAAAATAAATTGAGTGAAGTCTGTGTACTTTCATTTATAATTCTATTAGATTACAGATTCTTAAAATATATATACAGGCACTCAAATTAGGACATTTATGTAAGACGTATTAAGAAATTTTTTAAATCGCTATAATCAATTTACTTATGTTAAGATTTTCATGTAGACATCAGTTTCTGACAATAATTCGTAATCCTTGAAATGGCGCTATAAAGCATTATAGAGCTGAAGCTAAGCATCGGCAGATTTTAATATTTCTTCCTATACTAATAATTTAGACTATGAAGACCTTCAATTAAAATCTCTAGTGTCGGTGTTGCTTTTACATTAAACAATGCTTGCAAAGTAATTCGATATAATAATCGATTTCGATTCTACCTAAGTTAATAATAATATAATAGAAATAAAAAGGGCATCAACTTGTAACGGACCGGAGCACCAAACAGGACAGAAGACATTCCGTCTTTCGAATAAAAGCCAGAAAGCCAGCCAGCAGCTGTTAAGGATCACCTTATGTCAGAAGGGGAGAGTAGTTCTCGACCCAGTAATCTCCTTCTGGCCCAGATTGAGGCTGGGCACCTAAGTAAATTGGTTTGAGATAGAGTAACAGATGGTCAAATTTATTAATCTCACTTTCTTAGCAAATTCGTGTTTTTTGGAGAAAGAATAGAATATAAAATATTTGTAAGTATTGATTGCGATATCGGAATTTGGTAGAGTATAACTGGTATAGCATGCCAGTTCAAGTATTTTACATTTGTTGTGGTAGTTACTGTGTAGTTTAATTTAATACTCTTACAAATCTTTTAATTTTAATATTTTCAAATAAGAAATAAACTAAAACGTACAGAATTATGTGACTTCATTAATGAACAATTAAATTATTAGTTCTATTTCTTATTTATTTTTACTTCTTTTTATATACTCGTAATATAATTATAATAAAATTGTTTAAATTTAAGATTTGTTTTGTGCGATTTTTGATATAAATCTATAATTATTGAAGATACCATTTGATCAAAAAAGAACGAGAAGTTAAAAAAAGAACGCAAAATGTTAATTTTTAATAATTTTCTTTATTATCGCCTTCAAACTACTTTCCTTCTGCGGCAATATATGCATGCCAACGCTTGATCCAATTTTCCATACAAATTTTATAGGCCGCCGAAGGTATGGCCTTTAGTTCACGCAGCGAATTCTCTTTCATGGCTTCTATGGGCTCAAAACGCGTTCCTCGCAATGGTAATTTGAGTCGGGGGAATAGGAAAAAGTCACACGGGGCCATATCTGGAGAGTACGGTGCTTGGGTGATGATTTTGGTGCAGTTTTTGGCCAAAAACTGCGACACAATCAACGCTGTGTGAATCGATTTTCGATTTCGATTTTTTAGAATCCATGCGTACGATATGCGTAAAACTTTGAAAGAATATGTATAATAGTGTTGCCAGCGTGAAAATAATTTACCGATTGGATGAGCGCAGGATTTCAAAAATTATAATTCTCGTTCTTTTTTGATCACAAGGTATTTTAGCCTTTATTCGAAAAGCTGAGACTCTTCTGCGTATATCTCACTGATTAGAATTTGTATTTCACAGATTAATATTTTTCAATTAGTGTTATTGTCAAAGATATATTTAAGGTGACACTGTTTTAGAAATTAAAAGGTGACACTTTTTAGAAATGTGTGAATTCTGACCTATTTAATATTGCTCTTTTGTTATAATGAAATAGTTAGTTTGGTTACTCTTGAATTAGAAACGCAATAGAAATGAACTTCCATTGTTGAAAAAATTCAAGCATAAGCTCTGTTCTGTTGAAGTTGAGATTCTGTTTCCTGTATTTTTGCCATAGACGTATTTATATACTTTTATAACGTGTATACTGTTGAAAACTCGAGAACTTGATACAAATCAAACAAATCTCCCAAGTAGGTCTTTTTTTTCCATTTTCGTAAAAATTCAGGAGGTTGTCTGCTTTGAACGGCTATCAA